AAAAGCAAAAATAACTCCTTTTGAAGCCATCTGGGCAATTGTCAATCTTGTTTTAGATTTTTTTTATAAATTTCTTTGTTAAAAAAAAAACGCCCAAGATCTAGAGAAAGAAAGAAATTGATGCTTTTTTGATCCAGTTTTGCAATTTTCTTTATTTTGACAAAATCTTTTTAAGTTTGGACCCTTTTTTAGAAACAAATGCTCTAAATTAAAAAACAAAAACAGCAAAAATTGTGCAATGTAATTGTGCGATTCTACATTATTATGTCTGTTTTTATATTTTTTTATAAATTTAATAGAGTCGTGAAAATTGCTTTAAATCCAGAAAAGTAGACAAAAATAAAGTATTTTTGAATTTTTTTAACATTTCTGTATTATTTTGCCCAGATTTAAAGAATTTAGTGTTTTTTTTTTGTGAAAAAAACGCTCTAAATGTAGCAAAGTAGGCAAAAATAACTGGTTTTAAAACCAATTTAGGGATTTTCAATCTTGCTTTGAGAAAATTTAGTAATTTTTTTGTAAAAAACACCCAAAATCTAGAGAAACAGACGAAAATGATGCATTTTTGCGACTTTATGAGTTACTTCAAAATCTACCAAAATCTTTGAAAACAAAATTCTACAAATAACTTTGTAAATTCAAAATTTTTAAATTAATTTCACAAGTAGTGGTTTAAAAAACGCCATTGCTGTGCATTGCTTAGTAAAAAACGTTTTAATCGTGCAACCCAATTTTCCAACTTTCAGTTTTCTTTTGGCGAAATTTGTATGAAATTCTCGGTGAAATAAGCCCAAAACCTAAACAATCAGCACAAAACAATGTATTTTGACCCAATTTTGTATTATTTTGCCTATATCTTCTAATTTTAATAAATTTATTAGTAAAAAACGCCCCAAATCTAGGGAAATACACGAAAACTAAGAAATTTTGACAAAGATTTTGAGAATTTTCATACTATTTTACCCATTTTCTAGAATTTAGTATTTTGATAAAAAACGCTTTAAATGTTGCGAAACAGTAAAAAATAACTCGTTTTGAAACAACTTTAGCGATTTTCAATCTAGTTTTGGAAAAATTTAATAAAAAAACTAAGGAATTTTTACAAAATTTTGACCATTTTTTATTATTTTCCCCAGATTTTTAAATATTGCAAATCAGTCAAAAATAACTTGTTTTGAAACAAATTTAGAGGTTTTCAATCAACTTAAAATTTTATAAAAACGCTAAATAACTTGAAAAAAAGGCAAAAATGATGCTATTTTAACAAAATCTTTATAAAAAATTCACAAAAAAAAATATTTCTGTAAACTCAATACGAAATCGCGTTTTCAAATTAATTTTACAGAAGTAGTTACATTTTTGTGCATTTCTTAGTAAAAAACGTTTTCAATATAACAAAAAAAATAATCATACACTTTAAACCTAATTTTGCAATTTTGGGT